GCTGACATGCCCACGCTCCCCTGGGCTCCCAATGGGGAGCAGAGCAGCCCCCTCAAGGGCTCAGCGACACCCCAATAATTAAGACGCTCTGACATGCAGAGGAACTTGGAATGTAACGAGTATGAAAGTAGGATTGGAAGTCATCAAAAATAAAGTGGATATTCTAGGTGTCCGTGAGCTGGAAGGGACTGCCTTTGTCCGTCTGAATCAGAACAATCATACCGTTTACTGTGCTTGGGATGGACGGATCCAGATGATCCATCCCAGTCTGAAATGGGCCCACCATGCAGTCAAGATGCGTTGGGGATTATCGGTGGCCAGAATGCAAACGTTGGAAACAAAGAGGAAGGACCCGTCCCTGAGAAATATGGGCTCAGGGATGGAAAGGAAGCCGGAGGTAGAATTTTGCAAGACCAGTAACTTCCTCGTCGCCAATACCTTTTTTCAACAACAGAGAACTCAAGACATGGATTTCTCCAGGTGGAATACACCAAAATCAAATTGATGACGTCTGTGGAGAAGCAGCAAAAAAAACCCGCAAAAAACCCAGGCCAGGGCCTGACTGCAAAATAGACCATCAATTGCTCCTAGGTAAGTTCAGGTTAAAGCTGGAGAAAATGAAAACCAAGTCGACAAGAGCCAAGTACGACCTGGAGTCTACCCCCCCTGAACTGTGAGCCCATCTCAAGAACAGAACCCTAATGACAGAAGATCTGCTGGACTGTGGGAGGACATCGAGACCATCATCCGGAAGAAAGCACATGTCCTTGAGAGACGGGACAGAAGGCAAGATCAAAGTGGACGTCCCGGGGCTCCGCAACTGCTCTTCATCATCGTGTCGCGGCGGCACGTGGAAGAGAGGAGGAGGTCGGAGAGCTGACCAGAAAGTGTCGCAAGGCCGCGTGAGAAGAAGACTAAGTGACATCCCGGAACAAGACATGCAAAGACCTGGAGTTAGAAAACCCAACGGGAAGAGCACGCTCAGCATCTCTGAAACTGAAGGATCGAGAGAAAAAATTCCGGCCTCGAGGCCATCCTGCTCGGTCAAGTAGAAGGGTAACAAAGAGGAAGCTGCTCGACAGGACGGATGGTCATGGCGGCGGCATGCCACCCATGGGCTCAAACCGAAGAACAACTGTCAGGTCGGCACGGCTGGGCAGTGGTTCATTCTGTTGGACCGAGGGGTGCCATGAGTTGGTGGAAGTGTCTGGGTGGTACTCAACAACGACAACAGGAGGCGTGGTAGCTCCATGGTAGAACTCTGGACTTCAGTGCCCTTGACCTGGATTCAAATCTGGATTCGACATGGAGCCGTGGTAGCTCCATGGTAGAACTCTGGACTTCAGTGCCCTTGACCTGGATTCGAATCTTTCCAGGGCAGCTACCACCATGCATCTGAGGAGCTGGCCGGATGCTGGGATGCTGAGCAGGGAGCAGCTGAGCTTCCAGACTAAGAGAGACCCGCATGAAAGGCCTGGTGGTCCACATGCGAAAATCAGCCAAGGAAACCCCAGATCTGACAGGGTGGGATCTGCCACTGATCATGGGGCATGGGGGCAGGGAGGACAGGGCCAGCAGTGTTTCATTCCATTTCGCTGGGCATCACACCAGTGGGGGGGGTTAGGGGGGGGCAACTGGACAGCAGCTCACAGAGACTCCCCGTCAGTGCCCAGGGACCAGGAACACCAGAGCCCCCCAACTCTCCACACACACACACACACACACAAACCCATCTTTGAGAATGATGATGGCACCAAATGTACAAATGTGTTTGACACAATCGATGTACGTGTGGATCGTGATACGAGCTGTAAGAGCCCCCAGTAAAATGATTTAGAATACGTAAATAAATAAAGCAATGTGCAAGATCAGAAAACAGAAAAGAAAACCCTAGGAACCTTCAGGACCCTCACTCATTAAAGACGCTCCCCAAACCCCCAAAGCCCACGTGAGCTGCCATGGTCCAATCCCTACTCCAGGGCCTCTGCGGATGGACGCTGAGCACTGTGGGGCCCTGGTAAGACCCTCCTGGGCCTTTCTCCTCACTGACCAGCCCAGGCTGGGGACTCTTAGTGCCGGACCCTCCCTCCCAGAGCCAGGACCTCCTCCTCCTGGCCCGGCCCCCACCCCCCAGGCTCGCTGGTCCCAGGCCTGCAAGCTTTGAAGGACAAACATTGGTCTTTGCGCCGCAGGAGCTCAGAACATTAGCACGGCTGTGTCTTCCCTCTTCCCCTTGAATCGTGGACAATCAGAGTGTCAGGTCTGACCGTCCCAGGGCCAGACGCCGTGAAGTCGTCGCTGGACATTAAATCTCTGAGCGAGAAGATCGCCCAGCAGTTGCCACCCTCCCCCTAAGCCCCAGGCCCTGGCCATCATTCTCCCACCACCCACCCACCTTGG